AAATGGTATCAAAGGAAAACTATTTTATAGCTTGCTTAAAACAGGACTAAAGAGTCAACTTGTATGAGGAAGTGGGAGATAAAAGCAGCTGAGTACAGAACAGCTAGTCTCACCCTCTTGCCTGAATCATTCTCGAAGAACGAGAAAGACACAGGGAATCCTTAGCATTGAAACTTCAGGCACTGTAAAATGAGGGCTCTACTGATGAGTTGCTGACCTACTTTATCTCCTGTGTGGTTTTTGATTGGAAGGGGAAATACTACAGGCAATATAGGAGCGTAAGTGTAGAGTCATTAAGGTGTTTGAATGACTGAGGATCTGAGACATTGTCTGCTAAGAAAAAATGCTTTCTAGGTAAAGGTTAGGAGTTACCTGGAGAAGTTGTGCATTAACTAAACTTGGGAGTTGGAAATTGTAATGCAAAGTACTTGGGTCAACCTGCCAGAAGAGAATGAAAATTAGAATTCTGTTAAGCTTTCAGTTTGCCACACTGTTTTTTACCTCAATAGACTGCATCTGGGTTTTGAGCTGCTGGGTTGCAGGGTAGTACAGACTGCACAGCTTGTCTTGGTATGCAAGAGAGAAGAGAGAAGAGGTTTGTGGGTTGTGGAGAAGGACTCAATCACCGCACACAGCATTTGCTTTAAGAGTCACCATTAACAAAGCATTCCAGAGGGAGGCAGTGGTGCACAAGCCTCTGTCCTCAACTCAGAGCAGATGATAAATAGGAGCTGTGTCTTGCAGCAGGGATAGCGTAAGCAAAAACATGCTGATATCGTGCACAATAAGTGCTCTTTTGTGGTCTTGCACTGAGCGCGGAAGCTCTGTGAGAACTCTTTCACTTTCCAAATGCTAGTCTGTCTTCTATGATCTGATACGCATTTCCGTCACCTGCTCTGAGCTGAACATTATAGTAGGAGGGAGAAAGCAAAACAAGCAGTAAAATAGAACTGCTCAAGCTGTTTTGCTTCCTTGATGCCCTCTAAGCTTCCCATTTCTGTTACTCAGTCTCTTTCCTTTTCCCGTAGCATTTTGAGTCACAGCCCAAAGCTCCAACGCTGGGTGGAGGCCATGAAGGAGGACCCTGCTGTCAAGGCTACGATGACTGACCCAGAGACATTCAAAGGTTTCCTCCAGGTGTATTTGAAGAACAGCCCTGAGGCATGTGATTATGGGCTCTGAGGTGCCAGTAGGCACACGCTTGCTGAAGCGTCAGTGCTTCTTTTCAGCATGAGCTGTGGGGATTTAGTGTAACTTGGTGTGGGCTCTTCTGTGGTTGCATTTCATAATGGGGAGTAAATCTGTGCTGAAAAGGCAGAGAAATCTGTGAACTCCACTGCTTCCTGTCAGCAGGAGGGTGTGCTGGCTTCAGGTAGGAGATGAAAAGTCATTGCTGGCCATGTATATCATGTGAAGGAAAATGTTGGCTTTAATCAGAGGTGATGTTCTGTTATCTCTGACCTCTTTGCAGGCATTGCTGGTGGGCAGTCCCTGAACTGACCCTTCTACTTGATTTAAAAATTGCAGTACTGATGTCTTGAAAATAAATAAAAAGCAAACAATGTTGTCTTTAAACATGTTTTTCCTTCCTCTTTCCAGACAGCTATTAGTCACTAGACTGGTTGTGCAGAGAGGAGCAAGGCACTATAAAGGCTAAAACAGATAGTGTGGTCTCTGAAGTTCAGATGTGGTTACCTGGTACAAACTGTCTTCCTTTTTAGACAGTACTGCTGCCAAACCACTGAACTTGCAATTCTACCTAGTTACCCCTGCTGAAGTCACATTTGCAGGGACCATCAGTAATGGCTTCCAGTTTGGGCTAGATATGGTAGGGGAGTGTGTGGTTATAGTCCTTCTCTGCCCTTCTGAAGTAGGGTTGTGTTTATTCTAGATCTTAACCTCAATTATCCTAAAGGCTGAAGTAGGGAGTAAAGCTGACAGAAACCATATCCTGAGCAGAAGGACATTTATTTCCGGTTCTGCTCCAAAACTCAAAGCATTGCCATGCATGTCGTCAAGATGTAGCAGAAACCAGAGAACTGAAGTAGGAGTTCAGTCAGAGCATTATGTACTGGTGGTGTCTTGCTGCTGGTGAAGGAATGGAATATGTTCTGTTCCAGCAGGTAAATGGCAGGATCAGAGCCTTGCAGTTGGACGTCTTTTGAAGCTAAACTATATGCTAATATAGCAGAGTGCGGATAAGATTATTTGAATCAAAATTAGTCACAGGAAAGACTACTACTCTCTTTTTTTTTTTTTCCCCCTTGTCTTTTCTCTCCACATAGGGGATTAAAAGAACTGTGACCCATTCTGATGTTGCTCAGCTGTGTATGTCTTTCTCTGTCAGACCACTAACAACCCAAACTAGCCATAATTATAGGGAATAAGCATGCAGAAAGGAATAAGGCAAAGCAGTATTGTCAAGGACAGGGCTATGGTTCCTGTGGTGCCAGGGTGGTTGTGATGAGATAGACGAGGTTGTTCCTGTCTCCCATTGCAGTGAGATAAGGTAGCATAGCAGAAGGTAGTGGTTCATGGTTTTCCTGGTAATTAAGGCACTGAGTGTCTTGGAGCTTTTCTGGAGGAAAACAGGACTAATCTTTTTTTACTTTTAACATGTTTTATCCCAGCACACTAACTCTGAGGAAATGCATGCTTGTGTAACTTCAAGTAGGAAGGCAGATACAAAAGACAGATTTGATGAGGAAAAAGAATTAGCAGGAACTTAGTCTGTCAGCTTGCGGCTATTGGAGGGGATTGTTTATGCTCTTACTAGCTTTAATTCAAATTATGCAGCTTTTCTGCGCCTGTTTATCTTTCTGGCTTTTAAACACATCTGGCACTACTTAGAGAAGTACTAATTACTCTGCTGTTACTTCCAGAATGCTGATGTTCTTAAAAAAAATTTCCCAGTCCAGATCTGAAGCTGTACCTATTTTGTAGATTGTCATTAGAGAACCCAGAGGAAGCATAAAGCTGTGAGGTGTGTTGTCAGAATATGGATCTAGGCCAATTCATTAGATGAACGCAGGTTTTGATGAAGCCGCTGTCCCTAAAATAGTGTTGGTGGGATCTCAGTGGCAAGCTTCCAAGGATTAACTGCAGAACGCTTTGGGTTTATTAGCTGCTCTGCTTTGTGTAGGGCTTGTTAAAGCTATTAGTACAGTAGGCTCTAAGTTGGCTCCTATAAACATGCTAGGAATATGTTGCATTTTGCTCCAGTGTAGTATTGGATGCTAGTGGGAGATGTGACATTAGGGAGATCCAATACTGGTTTAAGAGACAAGACTGGTATCCAAAAACTGAACTGGCTGGGGCAAGACCCTAGTAACCCAGAGACTGTGTTGTCCGAACAGAAAGATGTGCTCTCCCCGTCTTTACTTAGTGGCTGTAGAGTGTAACATTATAAATATGCTACTTCAGCAAAAAAAGTAAAATGAAATATACTGCCTTATAATTTACTAGTAAGTATCATTGGTCTAAACCCCCAGGCAGACATCTGGGGTCCTGAACTCATTATAGCACACCAAGAAATGCAGGCCTCAGGCAAAGTGTTTTTCATGTGGTAATGAATAGGCAATGCTTTGGCCCAGTCTTCAAAGGAAAGGAAGAGTCATGTGGAATGGCCTGGCTGGACTTCCCTGGTGAAGGGGTGTAAAGGATACATCGTATTAGTTTAAAGAGGCCAAGAAAAGAAAACAGATATCTTCAGTTTTGGTCAACAGAGGAAAAAGATGGAAGTTAATAATGAAAGGATCAAGCAGATGAACAGCTCTGCCTTCTGGTCAGACCTCTCCTTAAAATCTGTGGATCAGATTGTATAGCAAGTGCTGTACTTACTCACCTTCTACTCCATATTTTGCCCTCCTGGGTCTCCTCTCCCCAGTCTTCTACTGCCGTGGCATCTGTAACATTCCCCTGTGTTATCAAGGTCTGAGAACTGGCTGTTTCTTATCCTCTCTCCCTTTCTCTGCTAGTAGCCTAATTATTTCACCAGCTGTGTTCCTTGGACATTGATTTCACTTGGCAATGGCTGATGAAAATGCAGTCTCTTTACAATCACAAGATCAGATGCTATTTCACTAAATCATCCCCAATTTCTGTAAGATGGAAGCAGTCTTTTCTACTGCTGGTCCAAAGCCAACAGAGATGGCAGTGGCTGATTTATCTGAGTAAATTAGTAATGCTATGTGATGTTGTTAGGATTTTTCCCTCCTGAAACACTTTGATTTGTTAAAACAGGAATTTTGAAACTTGTGAGATGCAGCTGTGTCTGGGGTGGCGCGTGACAGCTGCTTAGCAGTGTACAGTAACTCACTGAGTCCACGAGGAAGTCAGAACGCAGCTCGTATTAAGGGATCAATGTGCTGAGCCTGTTCTGTGCTGTTCACAGCCATCTTCTGATGTGCAGGAGGCAGTCTGTGAGAGTTACAGCAGGTGCTGCAGGTTTGCGTCTTAGGACCACCACTCTTGGCAAAGCTGAAGGAAAAAGCCATCTCTCCAGGGGAAACAGAGCCAAGAAAAGGGGCACTGAACAGCCACAAGCAGAGCAGGGAGCAGACGCAGCTTCCTGTAAGCTGCAAACCATTTTCATGAGCCGCCTGTGTGGCTGCACAGCAAAGGCTTAGGAGGGCTGAAGGAAAAAGCTGTCAAATTCAGACCACCTGAAGAATCAATGAGGACCAACAGTGAGACGTTATGGCTTAATACTGGCCTTCCTGCAGTGCTCTGCATACATTCCCGTTTCCCCAAAAGATGCTTTTGTGCCTTTCGTCCTGTTGCTCAAACCATCCTCGAAAGGGAGCTCTCAACAAGAATGCACTCTGGGACAATTCACAAGTCAGAGTGGGGCTGTTTTTTTCCCCTCTACATTCATCACATGACTCACTCTGTGCCTGTTCAGGCTTGGAAGCAGTCTGTCTCCTCTTAATCACGTTAGCTATTACGAGTAATCAGCTGTTTCTTCTTGTGGGAAGACAGCTCTGATATAACCTACACCTTCAAACCTTCAGGCTTGAGGCCTCTCAGTTTCTCCTCATACTCTTTATGTAGCTTGACTGTGTTGTGCTGGTGTATCTCTGCTCTGGATCAAAATTTCCCCCTCCAAAGCTATGCCAGGTGTGGCTCTGGCAAGAGAGAGTCAGTGTGGGGCTTTTCATAGAAACCTGCAATGTGGACAAGCCTAGTGTTTCTCTAGTTTTGTGTACAGGAGCTTTATAATACTGACGTGATGTGATAACCCTGAAGCTGAACTGAACTGGCAGGAATATCATGCTGATGGTGCAGAACGCCTCTGTCCCGTGGGAACGCCTGTGTGACGGAGGCCGGGCTGAGCTGCTCTGCATCACTTGTGCTTACAGGCACCAGAACCATCCAGGACTGCCCTGCCCTGCCTGGTGCAATCTGGCAGGGATGAGACCTGGAACATGTTGGCAAGCTCAGTGTTCTCTCCCTGTGGGTTTAGGAAAATCCCTCAGTGCTGTTTGATTCCCAGCAGAGGGCTAGAGAGCAAGAGTGAAGGTTAGGAGCAATAGAGTGAATTTCTGCCTTGATGCACCTGGGGAGGTGAAGTGACTGATGAGTCAGGCTGTGAACAATGTGGTTTCCTGATCCCAGTTCTTCCTAGCTCTGCTCACTGGGCCTGTGTTGGAACCTGAATGCTAGACTGTCTGCAGAAAGGTGCCTAATTGGATTTCCAATGATATCGTAAGTGTTGTGGCACTTCTGGAAAGCAGCCCAATACAGATAGAAATTTAATCTTGGCTCCTTACACGTGATTAAGTCTTTGCTGAGTTGAGACTGTTAATGGCTGTGGGTCTGTTGGTGAATTTGAAGATTATTTTGCATCTAAAAATCTACTCCTTTTACTGCAGATCACCTAATACACTTTTAAGAACGTCATTGGGGTTTTAGTATTCATTCTTGTGCACAATTTTTAAAACAGTGCCCCAGTCAGACATTTTACAAACACTCAAGTACCTAAACTGTGAGGGCTGTATTTAAATGTTTCACCTCAGCACCTCCTGCACTTCCATCTCAGAGCAGATCAATAAAGATAAGATACCCACTTTCAAGACAGAAGTTGCTGATTTTTTTCCCCAACCCCACCCCCCTTCTCTAACACTTTGGATAAGCTGTGGCTTTAGCTAGAAAGGTGCATAATTACTTAAAAACACAGTGCC